ACCACAACTCAAATGCATCTAATGTACCATCTAATAGTCGTTCTTATACATGGTCCAGTTTTCAGATGCTTATGAGGCTACTGAAAATACGATGGCTTGGGTCAGGTGCACCTTAGTTCACAAACTAATGTCTTTGTTCATGAATACAAGAGGTCTTGTGCAGCAGATTTGCCTAATCCCATACATTGTTTGTGTTTTGGGGGCTGCTGCTTATTGTGTTTATTGTGTATCCAAGTAAAATGAAGACTTTGACAACTTCAATCTTTTCTCTGTTTATCATGATGTTATTTATTGGCCCAGTTGTGAGAATTTTTGTTTTCTTTACATTGACGTGCAATGCATACTCAAGGCTTAGATCTTCATCAGTAAATATTTTAAGTCCTTTTTCTTTTCAGTAAGCAAGGTTGTATCATCTACATATCGCAGGTTGTTAATGAGTCTTCCTTTAATCATGATTCCGTGTTCTTCATATAATCCAGTTTTGCAGATTATTTCCTCAGCGTACAGATTGAATAAGTATGGTGAAAGAATACAACCCTGGTGCACACCTTTCTTAATTTTAAATCATTTACTATCCCCTTGTTTTGTCCTAACTACTGATTCTTCGTCTATGTATAGGTTCCTCATGAGCACAATTAAATGTTCTGGAATACTCATTCTTTGCAATGTTATCCATAATTTGTCATAATCCACACGGTCAAAAGCCTTTGCATAGTCATAAAAAACAAGTAAACATCTTTCTAGTATTCTCTCCTCTCAGCCAAGATCCATCGGACATTAGCAATGATATTCCTAGTCCCATGTTCTCTTCTGAATCCAGATTGAATTTCTGGCAGGTCTCTGTTAATGTACTGTTGCAGTCATATTTAAATTCAGCAAAATGTTACTTGCATGTGATATTAGTGATATTATTAGATGATTTCCACATTCTGTTGGATTACCTCTCTTTGGAACAGACACAAATATGGATCTAATCAGTTGTCCAGGTGGCTGCCTTCTAAATTTCTTGGTATAGATGTGTGAATGCCTCCAGTGCTGCATCAGTTTGTTGAAAGATTTCAATTTGTATTCAGTCAATTCCTAGCCTTGTTTTCATCAATGCCTTCACTGCAGCTTGGACTTCTTTCTTCAGTACTTTTGGTTCTTTGTCATATACTTCCTCTTGAAATGGTTCAACACTGATCATCTCTTTTTGGTACGGCGACTCTGTGTATACCATCCATCTTCTTTTGATGCTTTTTGCATCATATAATATTTTGCCCATAGAATCCTTCAATGTCGGAAGTCGAGACTTGAATTTTTGGTTAAGTTACCATAGCTTGAGAGATGTTGAGCTTGCTCTTCCCTTTTGTTTTTCTATCTTCAGATCTTTGCACATTTCATTATAATACTTGACTTTGTCTTCTCCAGCTGCCTTTCGAAATTATCTATTCAGCTCTTTTACGTCTTCACTTCTTCTATTTGCTTTAGCATCCCTGTGCTGTGAAGCAAATTATAGAATCTCTCCTAACATCCATTTTGGTCTTTTCCTTCTTTCTTGTCTTTTTAATGACCCTTCAGTTTCTTCCTATAAGATGTTCTTGATGTCATGCCACAACTCTCTGGTCTAATGCATCAAATCTGTTCTTGAGATGGCCTCTAAATTCAGGTGGCATATGTTCAAGGTCGTATTTCGGCTCTCCTGTCATTATTTTAGTTTTTTTGCTTCAGCCTGAATTTGCAAATGAGCAATTGATGGTCTGCCCCATACTCTGCCCCTGGCCTTGTTTTGACTGATGAGAGTGAACCTTCCCACTATCTCTTCCCACTGATGCAATCAATTTGATTCCTGTGTGTTCTATATGATAAGATCCATGTGTACAATTGCCTTTATGTTGTTTAAAATGGCATTTGCAGTGAATAAGTCATTGGTATTGGAAAATTCTGTTGTGTGATTTCCAGCATCATTTCTGTCACAAAGGCCATATTTTCCAACTACTGATTCTTTCTCTTTGTTTCCAACCTTCACATTCCAATCACCAGTTATTGTCAATACATCTTAATTGCATGTTTGATCAATTTCAGACTGAAGAAGTTGATAGAATTCTGTTATGTTTTCACCAGCTTTCAGTGGTGGGTGCATAGAGTTGGATAATAGTGGTATTAACTGGTCTTCCTTGTTGGCGTATGGATATTGTACTTCAAGATAGATTTTGAAATGTTCATTTTGATGATGAATATGGTGCCATTCCTTTTCAGTTTGTTGTTCCTGGCACAGTAAACCATAGGGTTGCCAGGTTCAAAGATCAAGGATATCTATCTTTATGCATTCTATTTCATTTTGACATCATCAAATTTTCATAGATTCATCCTTCATATATTCCATGTTCAGATTATGAATGGATGTTTGAAGGTGTTTCTCTGTACCATCAGCAGATGAAGGTCCTGAAAGCTTTACTCCACTCACATCATCACGATTAGTTAACTACTTTGAGGAGGCAGCTCTTCCCATCGTATTTTGAGTGCCTTCCAACCTGAGGGGCTCATCTTACATCTGATAGTATTCTATTCATCATCTTTCCATCTCTGGCATTATATCTGACAGTGTTCCACAGTTATTCATAAGGGTTTCAGAGGATAACCATTCAGAAGTAGTCCACCTCTCCTTACAAATCTGTCTTAGTCTGGAACCTCTGCTGAGACTTGTCTACCAGGGGTGTTCCTTCTGGTATTTAAAATACCAGTGGCATAGCTTTCAGCATCATAGCAACATGCAAGTCACCACAGTGCAACAAACTGACAGGTGAATGGTGGTTCAAGGGATTAGGCACCAGCTGTAGTTTTCCTTTTTAGACCTTCATTGTGTTCTGGAACTTGCTATCAAAACAGATTGGACTGAGGCCTTTAGCATCCCAAATGACATATTTATTTTCTTGCTATAATTGGTATGTTTTAAATTGAATCAAGTCATGGTATTTTAGTCACCACATATGCATGTGAAAGATAGACAGTGAATAAGAAAGAATGTAAGAATTGATGCATTTGAGTTATGATGTTGGGGAAGAATATTGACTATGTCCTGGACTACCAAGAGAACATACAAATCTGTTTGGGAAGGAGCCTGGCTATATTGCTCCTTAGAAGTGAGGAGGATGAGATTTGTCTGTCATACTTTGCACATGTTTTCAGAAAGACTAGTCTCTGGAGAAAGACATCTTGTTTGGTAAAGAGGAGGATCAATGAACAAAAGAGGAACACTCCCATTGAGATGGATTGACGCAGTGGCAGCTTTAATGGGCTCAAACATAACAGTTGTGAAGATGGTGTGGGACTAGGCAATACTTCATTCTCTTGTGCATAGGGTCTCTCTGAGTTGAAATGGAGTCGACTGTACATAACAGCAACAACAAAAAGTAATTTTTGATTTTATATGGCTGTCTCAGGTTGGTTTATGATCAGGCCTAATGTGAGGAATCTTGGTGTGATGCTGTAGGACAAGCACTCAACTGCTAACTGCAAGGTTGGTGGTTCAAACCAACCAGCTGTTCCCTGAAACCCTATACGGAGTTGCTATGAGTTGGAACCAACTCGACAGCACTTAACAACACCACCCTGTTAGGTGTTGAAGAAGACCCTAAATGAGATGAATCAACACAGTGATTGTGAAGACAGTTGAGGACCAGGTGATATTTCCTTCTGTTGTACATACGATTGCAGGGATTTGGAACTAACTTGACAATATCTAACAACAACTACCTGTTTATACTCATTGGACCAAGTACATGTTACTAAAGTAGCCTTTTAAAATTATTACATCTCTTTTAATCTGTACTCCTTAGAGTGTATAGTTTGTAGTTTCACCTGGCTTCTCCAGAGTCATCCTTAATGATTTTAAAATAAAGAGATTAAGAGTTTTCACATGAAAATATTTCTTAATTGTGGCATATTAAAGAATGTTACATGTAAAAACTGAATTGTACAAACATTTGTGACACAAATCTTTGTACAGAGTAATGTCACCAACTCTATTTTAGTTCTAGTTTATTACTTAATAACAGGGATTACCTTAAACTTCAGTATGGGAATAAATTTTTATGAGCATCATTTAACAAATATTTTGATGCCAAAAGTAAAAACCTTAGTTTTCTTTAGTCAGTCTTCATGTTGCGTAGTTTAAGATTTGAATATTGGTAACAGATGGATTTGGCATATGTAGAGGATTAGTTTGTAGTGGGAAAACTGGAGACCTAGTTCTCAATATTTGACCTATAACCCCCATCCCTTCCTGCATGTGCAATATTTATTGGTTCTTTTGTGTAGCCAAATAATGCAGTAGGTTTTGCTGTACTACTTACTGGGAGTAATCATCTTTGTGAAAGATTTCAGTGTGAAAATTTATTTCCTATTAAATAGTCCACCTATGGTTAAAAATTGACATACTTTCTAAATTCTAGATTGAGAATTGAGGTTATTTCACTTAATGTTACTTGCCAAAACTCAATAAATCTCTGATTTTTGCACCTTGGATAGTAAATTACATGATACTTGTGATTTTTAAAAATTTTCATAAGAAACACTTCGTAGAGATATTTACAGCCATTATATATATATATACAGCCATTATATAAGAAAAGCTTCATTCTCTGAAATGTCTTGCTCTTCCTTTTTAGTGCCCTTCTCTACTGCATGTACCTAATTCTGTTTGCGTTAGTCATCTTCCCTAGGTAAATTGTCCATGAGACCAATGAGTCCATCAGCAAATTACCCAGAAAATGCTGTCTTTGCACATTGTGACAGATCATGTCACTGGTGGATTTATAGCTACTCCAGTGGTCTAATTAGCCTGGCAGTTGTCTCCTGTGTCCAACACTCTTGTCTCATTGCCTTGGCGTCTTAGTTTTCATCTTCTCATTACCTTCTCTCTTAACTAGAGCTGAGACTTAACAATTATTTTTGTTTTTGTTCCTACCTAGCTCTACTTAATTCTGTATTTACCCCCACGTCTTATTTTTGATTGGCAGTATCATCCAGACAAACAAAGTGCTGATGTGCCAGCAAAAGCATTGGAGGAATGCGTACAAAAGTTCATCGAAATTGACCAGGCGTGGAAGATTCTAGGGAATGAGGAGACAAAGAAAGAGTATGACCTGCAGCGGCATGGTAGGTCCTCGTGATAAGGAGCACGCACGATACATTGGCAACTTATGAAGCAGGATCTGCAGCCATTTCTGAAGCGCATTCTCCAGGATTTAACTTTTTTTTACCAGATTTCTACTGCCTTTTTTCACTCTTCACCCTCATCATTGTTTTCAGTGATATCTTATTTTTAATAAGGAGCCCTGGTGACATTGTATGATAAGCACTGGACTGTGAACTGAAAGATTGAGAGTTCAAACCTACCAGCTACTCCATGGGAGAAAAATGAAGCTTTGTACTCCCACAAAGATTTACAGTCTTGTAGATAGGGTTGCTAAGAGTCAGAGTCAACTTGAGGGCAGTGGATTGGGTTTGATTTTTGTTTTTAGTAGTGATTGTTGTATATCCATTGAAAAGTTAACAAATTTAATGGGATGTGGCTTCTTGAGAAGTTGTGAAGGTTAGTTTCTTTTTTACAACTAGTGACAAATGTTGATTATATGTTCTTTCATAGTAAAAACTTAAAAGAAATTTATGTACTGATGAAATTTTAGCTGTAGTGATTTTAAGAATGTGTGCTGTATAAATGACCATCAAAAAGGAAGATGCTACATAGGGAAGGATCATAAAACACTCTTCACAGTTGCTTAGATTATTTCAAGGTAGGTTTTATGGTTATCTCCAGGGTAAACTATTCTGTATGAGATTGTTATAAATGTCATTTTAGGAATGCACTTACTTAAGTAGTTTTAGCAGTCATTTCTTTTCTGCATTTTAGAAAATAGCATCTTAAAACAGTGACAAGCTGTTTTGAAAAAGAAAGGGAGAATGTAGGTCAGTTTTGTCACACATGAACTGCAGTTACACAAAGTGATAGGCCGTCCTTCTGTAGTGGCCTTGGGATAGGAGTCCTGCAACCCTCTGTTTGAGCCTTCAGTATACACCCTACATACTAATGGAGGGAATCAGTAATCAGTTATAGCCTGTGGGGAAATGCACCTGACTCATACTGTTAGTAAAAACTCACTGTTGGTTATTGAATCCCAATACTAACACATAATCTAATGTCACAAAATTATTTTAGGGCCCCTGGTTTCGTAGTAGTTACGAATCGGGCTGTGAACTTCAAGGTCAGCAGTTCAAAACTACCAGCTGTTCCATGGGAGAAAGATGAGGCTTTCTGCTCCCGTAAAGATTTACAGCCTCGGAAACCCTGTTCAGGGTCGCTATGGGTCGGAACTAACTCAACGGCACTTAACAACAACAACAAAGGGTTTTGAAGTCCAAGGAGCTCTGGTAGTGTAGTGGTTACGAGTCATGCTGCTAACCTCAAGGTCAGCAATTTGCAACTTCCAGCTGTTCCACAGGAGAAAGATGAGGCTTTCTGCTTCCATTAAGTTTTACAGCCTTAGACACCCTATGCAGGGTTGCTGTGAGTCAGAACCGAATCCCTGGAACATACCCACCATCATCACCAAGGTTTGGTTTGGAGTCCAGGTATGACACTGTAGGATAAGCAATGAATTGCTACCTGCAAGGTCATAGGTTCAAACCTTGGAAACCCTTTACAGGGTGGCTATGAGTTGGAACTGACTCGATGGCACATAACCACCGTCACAGCAGCACTACAAAGGTTAAGGAGAACTGGTGGCACTGTGGCCAACTAGGAAGTAGGCTGTTAGCCACCGTGCGGTGCTTGAAAACCACCAACGACTCTGGGAGAAAGGTGAGGCTGTCTGTTCCCTTACAGATTTACAGTCTCAGAAACCTGTTCTATAGGGTCACTATGGGATGGAATTGACTGAAAAGAAGTGGCTGTCACTACTAAGGTTATGAATGTTTGGTTTGAGAAGCAAGGCGTTATTAAAAAAAAAAAGTGGACCATCCATTTGTTTTCTGAAAGGAATTGTACCAATACAAGGAAATCTCTCTTACAGGCAAACATACTTTGTGTAAAAAGGCTTTATGAGCTGTTGTTTCATTTTCTTTGATATAGTGATTTATTCACTAATCAGTTCTTTTTTTATTATTATTATTTTAAAGACTAACGTAATAATATTATAGAAAATGCTAAGAACCTGACAACTTTACCTTTGCAAAGAATTTGAATTTACTTTCAAATGTGACTGTTGACTATTGGGCTTTCTTTGTATTTGGCACATATATGAGCATCTTTCTGATGTTATATTTCGTTTGTAAATGTGTTTGTACTTTTGGAAAAAGAACAAAGTGATTCCACTGGAGCATAAGCTCTCATCATAGGTACATCTTTATTCTTAGGTTACATGACGTCATTGCTATGAGAGTCCTGACATGAGCTCACATGACTGTGTTGTGTGTGAGAAGTCATCTGCATTCCTAAAGCCACCACACCCCACTGGACATGATTACCCTCTCATGGTGCCTTAGTACATCTTTACCAGGCTTTATTATGTGGTGCCCGTTTGCTGAGGAAAGGAATAATTCACATACAACTATAGTTTACGGAGGTGTAAGGGTATTACTTGCACTGTCGCTCTGCATTCTTGCCACCACATAGCCTGTGTACTTTCTAAAGAACATATTAGAGAAATTGACTGTTTCCCAAATAGGTCTGTTTCCCAAAGAGAAGGGGCAAAGGAGAAGTCAGGAATCAAAAACTATTCCATCTCTCTAGGGTTTAGGATGGGGTAGACCAGGAATGGAAAGAAATAGGAAACAGGGTTATAAAAGTGACCAAGAGAATCACATGAAGAAAGGCTTAAGAGATGTTAGAAGAACAAGGAACCAACATCTTCAAGCCTTACACATTACCCTTGGGAAGTCCTTGGAACTGGATTTATTTTAATATTGAGTCCTTGGCTTCAGGGTTTTAATGGAACCAGTTACTGCCTTTTGTGTCTCACTGGACTCTTGGAGGTCACTGATGAGGTCACATAGAAGTTTAGACAACCCAACTACAGTGAGAGTTCTGATTAATGATTAAGATAAGTAGGCAGAACTTTTGCTTGGAATTTATGTAATGTCAGTTTATTTTGCATATTTTTTTCAAAAGACTAATTACTGATTTGGGATATTCCAGGATGGTCCAGGGGTCCTGGCACTGTAGGATAAGCACTGGACTGATAACTACAAGGTCAGCAGTTCAAACTCACCAGCTGCTCCTCAGAAACTCTATATGAGTTGGAACCAGAAGACCCTTCATATTTCTTTTTTGACCTGAGGCTCTGAGTAGTGAGACTACTCTAGTTCAGTTTTAAATGGAGCTCAGTCTGCTGTTCTGATAGATAACAGAAGTGCCTCTTATTCAGATATTTCATATTGTTTTTAAACCCTTTATGCTACAGGAATTTATCAAAAATCTCAAAATAAACCTAGCTTTATGGTATCATTTCTTTTTTAATATAACACTAATTTTCCCCTTTTGACCCATCTTTGATAGGTGGCTCCTCAAAAGACAGAAAGGAACTTGAACTTCTAGCAGTGAGGATTTAGATTTGATAGAGGGAAAACCTTTGAGAGAGATAATTTGTTAAAGACCAGGATAAGTTACCAAGAGAGAGTATTTGTTAGAACCAGGTCAGAGCACTCTGTTTCTGGGTCATCCCCTGGGGACATGGAGATAGGTTTCTTATACACAACTCCTTTTCATGTAGTGTGGTTTATTGTAAAACTTTCTTTTTATATGATGTGATATAAATATGACTGTACCCTGTCCTCTGTTAGCTTGCTGTATAAAATTAGTTTGCGTTCTATAATAGTTGGGTAGAAGTTAGGAAATATTTTATGGTAAGTGCCTTCTTATATTTCACAGTTGAAAATTGATGCTGTCTTATCAGGAAAGCCTCGTCAGTATCAGCCACAACTATATACTTCTCTAAAAGATCACTTAAATCAGCCCCTGATGTACATATTTCTTTGCATAACAAAAGAAAATTTCAAATGAGCTTTCTAATAAATAGAAAAGTAGTTATCTGAGGCAGATAACTTAAAGTCCACATATTTTTCTCATTTCTATTCCTGTCTTCTTAGCTGGCATTGTGGGTCCATGCTGTCCTGGCTGAAGTAAAACAGGATCTAAAAAGGGATGAGTAATACTCAGTTTTCAAAGATTATACATTCTGAAAGCAGTGCTAGCTAGTGAATTTAATCCATTCGTTCCAGTTGGCATCTTTACCTTTATGTTTCTAAGACTGCTTCCAAAGGCTGCTTCCAGTGTTCTTTTGTATGGTTTGGAGTTCTTCAAGACGAAGCTTTGCATTTCTGAAAACCACTTGTGCACTTTAGAAAGTCTTTTCAGGATTTATAAAGTATCCACATAAAAAATCTGTTAAATTAATTTTGATGCTTCTATAACTTTTGTGGGAGTGGTTTCCTATTTTAAGCACATTAAAAACTGCATCAGCAGTATATTATGGGAGAACAATGGAGATCATGGTCCAACGGCTTTATAATGCTGCCTTCATCCAGATCTCTGATGACACAGTGGCTCTGTAGTGAGGCACAGCTTATGAGTTAAGTTACTTCCCTGTGACCTGAAGAGGGAGAAACCTTCAGATGAACCACTCAAATTAAGTAGTATAATTTTTTTTTTTAACTTTTTATTGAAATTTGGGTGAAAGTTAATAGAACTTCTGACTTAGTTTTCTATTCAGCAGTTTATTATACGGTTTGTTTCATGACTCCAGGACACTGAAAACAATTCCCACAATGTAACAGCATTCATTCCATTTCCTCTCTGTTGCCCATTTTCTTTCCTATCCCTTCCTGCTTTCTGAACGTTGTCTCTGTATAAGTTCTGTCCTTTTGATGAAATAATATTTTAATTAAGTAATTGAAAATAAGGATTATGCTTGGAATCCTTGCTAATAGATTACTACATATAGGCAATCCCTGAAAAATGAGCAGGCTCTGTCCTGAAGTCAAATTTGTAACCGGAACAGGTATATGCAGTTCTTATTTAACATTTGTTTTAGGTAGCTAGTGCTGCTATAACAGAAATACCACAAGATTTATTCTCTCACAATTTCAGAGGCTCTGGTAGC